CGCTGCTAACCAACCAAGGGGTGCTTAAACACCCCTTCCTCCAGGAAGCATCGGCAGCCCAACCCTTCCCCTGGGGCCACAGTGGGCTCTTGAGAACTGTTTGTCAGTCTCCTTTCTGGAACTACTGTGTTCCTCTTAGCTGGGATCCTGTCTACTCACTCACCATTTGTGTTGCTAGCATTTACTACAATGCTTAACACAGAGTGAACTCCTAGCATGTATGTGTAAATATCTATTTTTAACTGGATAATGAATGGATGGACGGTAGACAGACAGACGGGTAGGTAGATGCAAGGAATAGGTCCTACTTGAGTTGGATTTTTAATGGTTTGAAAGATCTTCAAGGGAAGGGCGTTCAGGTAGAAGGGCAGGTGTGGCTGAACACGGGAGTGTCGGATTGGAGGCACAGTGGGAGATAAAGGAGGATGCAGACGGATTACAAGGACCTTGAATGTCACGGTGCAGAGTCTGGACTTAATTCAGTAGGCGATGGGGAGCCATGGAAGGGTTTTAATCAAACAAGTGACACGATCCCACCTGCGTTAGAGAAAGATAGCTCTGGCTGCAGTAGGGATTGCGGATGGAGGCTGGGAGACCAGGGAGGAGGCTGCCACTAGGCAAAGTCAGCGAGGTCTGAGTCAGAGCAGGGAGCGTGGGACGGATGGAAGTGGGGGAAAGGGAGAGACCAGGGTGCAGTGAATCTGTGGGAATCGGGCCCACGTCTGGATGCCCCAACTGTACGCAGGGATTGGGCTGTCCCTTGAAGGATCCTGAGGTCAGAGACGGATCCTGGTGATTTCAACAGAATTCCACCTTCCAGCAGGCGTGCGGGCAGCCAAAGTCAAGCGCAAAACCAGAGGAACACCATGTTTGGGCACTGGGGGAGCCAAGGGACACAAACGGAGGGATGATAATGACAACAATGCTTCCTTTATGGAGTATCCCGCATGCCAGGCACAACGCTGGGCACCAGACACACCGTGCACATTTAATCTTCACACAACCCAAAGAGGCAGGCATGTTTTTTGTTTTTTGTTTTTTGTTTTTCCTCCATTTCACAGAGAAGGAAACAGGCTCCGAGAGGCAAAGTAATTTGCCCAAAGTCACACAGCCAGAAAAATCACAAATCCAGGCTGGCCTGACGCCCACGGCCGTGTTCTCAGTCAGTTATTTATATACACAATAGAGGGAGCTGGTAGCCAATGGATGAGGGAAGGTTTGTGGGTCTGATGAGGAAGCAAGAAGTTCCCAGCCCAATCCCAGAGTGACAGCAGAAAGGGGCCTGCTGATGGGGCGTGAAGGAACAGTGGTGGGGGGGGCAGGGGGAGACAGAGTGGGGGAAGGATTTCACCCTGGTTGCTACACTGCCTGTGCTCAGACCCAGATTCAAATATTCAGAAAGGTGTGCTCCACCGTGAAAGAATTGTGAGCAGTGAGTGTGAGACAAGGAGTGAGCTGTGCTTAATCTCCAGTTGGGCCACCTTAGTGGGAATTAAAGAAAGGTTATCTTCCCCTGGGGGCATTAGCCTTACAGGCCTATGGCCCGTTAGTATATGAAGACTTTCTTGTAAGTGAGGGAAAGATGTTCACTTCTCCAGGAGTACACAGTCTGCCTTTATGGCACCTGATTTGTTGAGTGGAGCTTATGATGGATTTCAGCATCTATTCTCCTACACAGAGTGCCCTTGGAGAATCGACAACCTGTGCAACTATACGTGACAGCTATGTCTCCAACCACTCTGTCCTGTATCCATTTCCCAGCAGCCACTCTGCACCATCCTGGACCAGAAAATATTTCCTCTGACATATAGGGCTTGGACCATTCTACAGACAAGTCTCTTTTTAATCCTTGCCTCCTCCATGGGGAAAAGAAAATGTCTGATTATACCCACTGCCCTGATGAAAAAAGTTGAGGTTGGAGACTGTCCTGATGGTGGGAAAAAAAAAAAAAAAACCATACAAGGCCTTTTTCAGAGAGGCCTATATCAAAACACAAAGTTCCAGGAAGCAGAGGCCTCTATTCACGAGCTCCATCTTAAGGGCGCTCGGATGTGCCCGGGAAGGTGGAGCGTACACCCACCCTCACTGGGAGCAGGAGGCTTCTCTGCCCCCCCACCCCCACCCCGGGGTCTGGCTTGGGTCTTCTATCAGTCTGACCCGAGTAGAATCGTGGTCTTGTCCCTGACCCCTAGCGCCCTCTTTGGGTCAACTCCGGGGCAGGACGGGGAAGTCCCCAGCCCAAGCCACCTCCTTAGGATCTCCTCTTCCCTCCTAAGCCCCTGACTCTGTCCTCAGCCCCAACCCCCTCCCAGGCCAAGAGAGCCGGCTGCTGCCCGAGTTATATAAACAGGAATCATTCTCTCTCTCTCTCTCTCTTAATACCTGAGGCTGCATTTCCGGATGGAGCTTCCTGATAGATGAGAAAGGAGGGGAAAAGAAAGAACAGAGACAGGACAGGAAATTCAATTGGCTGACTCCTATCATCCATGTGCTAAATAAACGGGCTGTTCCAAACTTTGCTAACTGGGAAGAGACAGGCCCTCCCGGGGTCCCTGCCCAGCCCTGTTGGCAAAGGCCTCTGGAAAGCCAGAGCGATGGCCAGCAGATTGGAAGTCCTACCTCTAGGCACGATCATTCCAGACCACCAGAAACACTGGCAATCACACACTTTATGGAAGGGCTGAGACTTGCTTGGGGCTGCACACCTTTAGGGGCCCAGCTATGTCCTCAGTGTCTTTTCCTTAGGCTTCTGCACCAAAAGCACTCGGACAGCTTCCCCCGGACAGCTTCCCCTGGGTACTGGCTTAGGAGCTCGGTGGGTTGAAACGTAAACACCTCTTGAATTTAAGCAAAGTATCTTCTTGTTCTGCTTGCCATTCAAAGGCAAGAACGAGCTCCACTTCCCCCTCCCCCCAGACCGGCCCTACATATAAGGAGAGCTGGTGAGGCCTGGAAGTCAGGGCTCCTGGGCCCCCGTTCTGGCTCTGGATGGAGCTTACTTTGTGACCCAGGCCTCGGTTTTCCATACTTTAAGATGGGAAGGAGGGAAGCCCAGGTGGTCGCAGTGCGGGTCACAGGGGAGGGAAGGGGTTTCTTGTCTGCAAGAGTCGGCTGAGGGAGCCCTGCAGGAGAGGCAGCTGGCCCTTGGCAGAGAGAGACCTGGTTGGCTTTGCAAAGTACCTTCCCCAGAGACGTTGGCAGAGGTGGTCCCAGAAGGGCACACAGACTCCCTCATGAAGCAGTGTTTAAATGTTGACATGGCCTGACTTGCCAGAAGGAATGGAAGAGGAGCGTCCCAGACCCTGGGAAGGGAAAGGAGTCAGGGTGGAGTGGAGAAGTGGCTGGCGCGGGCAGGGGGCTGGGGAGCAGGTGACCGCAACAGAGAAACTGGGGCAGGCCGGATGGAAGATGAGCGGGAGAGATATGGTCATAGGTGCGCAAACACCAAAGGATGTCCTTATAGGTGTAGAGGCCAAATTCCAAGAAGGGCTGGTGGATAGGGGTAAAAGTTGGAGGGGGGCACTGATGGACAAGTGTAGGGGGTACCAATGAGGAAAAGAGGGGCACGGTGGTTTGCAAGGAACCTCTGGGTTCCAAGGCCATGGTGATGCTGGTACTGGGCAGGGACTCAGACTAGAGGGGGAAGAGGGTAAGATCCAGAACCCGGTTAGAGGCCCACGGAGGGCGAGCAGCAGGCAAAGCCCTCAAATGGGCCTTGGCCTGTGCTGTGTACCTTGGCCAGCCTCAGGGACCCAGAGAGAGCTGGAATAGGACCCAGAGAAACCGGAGTCGGTATGCGCAACCTCCGGCCCGGCCTGAAGGGCTGGAAGGGCCGACTGTGAAGGAAGAACCAAGAACCTTCCCAGAAGCACGAGAGTCCGAAGCCTCGGGGCGGCTTCAAACTGCGGTGTCTCTGCCCGCCACCAGGGGATGCCCTGCAGCACGGGGAGACCTCGGGGGACTCCGGATGAGCTCCTCCCGCCGCAGCCGGGCCTGGAGGTCTCCAGCCGAGCCCTAGCTGGGGTAGGGACCTGACAGTGCCAGAGAAGACGAAGAGGGGAGGTCAAGTCTCGAGGCGCTAGGGAGACAGGTTCCGGCCGTGCCCACCGCCGGGCCCCGGGCACCAAGAGTGCCCACAAAATCTACAACTACCCCTTCAGTGTCCCGGCCCCAGAGGGTCAGTCCCAAGTGGCCGTCCCCCTGGACGTGAGGCCGTCGGGCCCGATCCTTCGCCCACGCAGGGGCAGTGATCCCGGAGCCCGGTCCTAGGGAAGACGGCAGCGCGGCCCCTCGCTCACCGCGGGTCCGCCGGCCGGTCCGACGGCCGGAGGGCGGCCGGGTCGCGCTGATGGAGCCGGCGGGGGTCCCCGTGAACCAGCCGCCCGCTCCCCACGAGGTGGCCGCAGCCGTGCGTGTCACCGCGCCTCAAGTCTGCCTCTGGATGCCCCCGGACGCGGCACGACCTCGCACACACACACCGCGCGCTCACGCTCTCGCCGTGCGGTATTTCCCGGCCCCGGACCCCGCCTCTGGGAGGGGCCCGGCAGCCGAGCCCCGGCGGCAGGGGGTGGGGGCGCGGGGAACGCCTGGGTCCCGGCCCCCGGGTAGGAACCGCGCGCCCCCTCCCCAGCCCCTCTCCGCGCGCGGGCTCGGCCCCCGGCACTGACACCCAGCGGCCCGCGGGGGGTCCCGGCGGCTCCCGGCGCGCGGCGGGCGGGGTTGGGGGGGCGGGGGGCCGCGGGCTCCGGGCCGAGAGGCGGCTCGGCTCCGCGCCGGGGAAAGTTTGGACGTGGGAAACTCCCTCCCGCCCGCCCCGCCGAGAGGAGGGGGCGCGCGGGGGCCGGGCGCGGGCACCCGGGCTCCCCCTGCGGCGGGAGGCTCACCCCCAGCGCCGCCCGCCGAGCCGCTCCCGCCGGCCAGGGGGTTCCCTCCCGGCCGGCCGGGCAGCCTCCCCTCGGCGGCGATCCGGCCGCCCCTCCCGCGGCGCCCCGCGTCCTTACCTCGGGGAGCGGCCCGGGGCTGCCCCCAGTCCTGCCGCCTCGGGACGCTGCGTGCGGCGAGCGAGTCCGGAGCCCGGAGGCCGCCCGGAGGAGCCGGAGGGAGAGCGGGCACGAGAGGGGGAGCCGCGGCGGCGTGTGCGCGCGTGTGTGTGTGTGTGTGAGCGAGAGAGCGAGAGAGCGAGGGAGTGAGCGAGCGGGAGCGAGGGAGTGTGCGTGTCTGACTAGGGGGGAAGTGTGCAAGGGACGGATCCCTTCCTTCCTCCCGCAGCCTCTGGTGGAGACTCGGAGAATGCAGCGCCTGCCGGGCAGGAGCGCCGCGCCGCGCCGCAGGCGGCCGTGGGGCCCGGACCCCGCAGACCCTGGTGCCCCGGCACCCCCGCACCCCCCGCCCGGGTCGCGCCCCTCCCCCGCCGGGAGGGGCTGGTCTCGCCAGCGCCCGGGGCGGCCCAGACCCAGGAAACCCCTGGGTGTGGGGGGGGCGGCGCCCCTCCTTCCTTCGGCGCCAGATCCGCGCGAAGGGAGCGCCCCCAGGAGGGGGACCGTCTCCCTCCCCGCCTGGCAGCTCCCCAGAGGTCCCGCTTCCAGACCAGACCCTTCCCCCTCACCCGACTTTCCTGCGTCTAGGGTTCCCCATTTCCCTCCCACTCCTATGGGAGACGGGCTGCAGAGGAGAGGGGGCGCAGGGGAGGGAGGGAGGGCATGCTTCTCCAGGGGCCGCCCTGGCTGGCCGCCCGGAAAGGCCCCTGCACACAGCCACCAGTTTCAGATGCAATCACTGTGCTTTGAAGTGGACAGAGGCGGCGGGGGGGGGGTGTCTAGTCCCCAGGGAGGTGCTAGGTCAGCTGTCCCAGGAAGAGAACTGAGGCTTTTCCTCTTGGCGGGGTTGGAGAGGGGATGGACATCCCTGCAACTGAGGAAGTAAGCCGGCGAGGCAGCCCTATCCTAAGGTTTAGCGCTCCCTTGACCCCCAGAGCCTCCCAATAACCACCCCCGCCCTCCCCACTTCCCTGAAACACCAAACAGGCCCGGTTTCCCATTCTCTTGAAACTCAAGCCACCGCTGCCAGAGGTCTTTCCCATCCTGCCTGGCTTCATTCTCCCTGCTACAGTGGCTTCCTCTTCAGCCTAAGTGGGGAGACCCCCCCCATCAGTTCACAGCATGAGGTTGTTCGGTAGCAGGTAGGCTAGGACCAGCAGCTTCCATAGATCCACCCCTTGTCTTGGGTTGGGGGATGCCTGAGAGCCGTCAGATAGGCAGGTGCAGGGTAACAGGGGACACCACCACCATCTTCCTCTGTCCTGCCCTGCTGTCACCCACTACACACAGACCAATGTCTGATCAGGCGCTGAAGTTCAGGGCAAGAGAGAGCAGGACCTGCCAGGGCCTCAGTGGGTACCCCCAGGCCCAGCCTCTAGCTCACTCCTGTGGCACACTCATCCTCCTCCCTTCTCTAATTTCCATCTCCAGCCCCTTGCCTCCTCCCTGCTGACTGGACTCTTCTCTCCCCCTGGCACCCCTTCCTCTAAACTCCATCACACTTTTGTTTATTTTGAGATTTATCCTCCATCCTGCCAGCCCGTTCCCTCCCTCTCTCCCTCTCTCCAATTAGGTTTAGATTAGGTTTATTCCCTGTCGTTGATCTCTCCCAGCCCTGCTTTGTTTGGCCCTCCTTTGAGCCCCCCCTTCTCTCCTCCCCTCTTCTATTCTTAGCCTCCACTCTTTGGTGCTTTCTGAGACCGGGAGGCCAGCCCTCCCAGAGGCTTCTCCTCACTTTCTGTTCTCTCTCCTCTTGGACTCACTTTCTTTGGCCCTTTGGTCCAGCTGCCCTCCCTCCCTCCCTGCCCCCCCTTCCTGACCCCACCTGGCGTGGGCTGTTCCCACAGGGATCAGACCTACTTAATCATCCACAGGTAGTTCTGGCCTGGGACACTTGCTTTCACATCTGCATACATACAGTAGGTGCTCAATAAATGTTTATTGGATGAACTACTCTCACATCTTTCCTCTGATCTCTCTCTTCTCCTCGATTCTCCCTGGGACTCTATCAGATTCCCCGCTGCTTTTCCTCTCTCAGCAACTCCTCTTCTCAGACTCCCACCATTCCCTCCAGTTTCTCCTTCCTCCACATGTCCCCGAGTGGCCACTCCATGCCAGGCACTGTGCTAGGCTCCAGGCACACACTGAGGTCCCTGTCAGCGACTACTGAGCCCCGGCTGTGGGCCTTGATTTTGCTTTTAAGTTCTCACAACCGGTTCTAATACGAGCCCCCTTTTTACAAAGGAGGAAACTGAGGCACAGGGTGTTGAGACCTTAAGGTCACACAGACATTAAGACACACAGCCGGCAAGCAGCGAGGTCAAGTTGGTGTTCTCTGGGCTGCACCTGGGCTGGGAGAAGGTGAGTGGGGATTTCAGCTGCCATGTGACAGGGGCAGCAATTGGCAGGGGTGACAGAAGCAGCCCTGGGCAGAGAACAGTGGTGGCCCACGAAGGCTGCACGAAGTGGGGCAGGTCACCTCCTCAGTGTTGTCGCGCAGATCAGAGGAGAGGATAGGAGCAGTAGTTGACATCTAGAGAGCACACGCCCTGTGTTGGCCAGGCCAAGTGCTTCACATTGATGACTTCAGTTGATTCTCATCGCAACCAACTTGTAACTGTATAGTTGGGGAAACCAAGGCACAGGGAAACTACACAAGTCGCCTAGGGTCGCACAAGTACTTTGTGGCAGAGCTGGGGTTTAGAAGGAGGCAGGCTGGGACCCCAGACCGGGGCCTGCCGGGAGCTAGCTCTGTTAACATGGGGGGGTCAGAAAAATGCTTTGTTATGAGGGCTGTCCTGCACGAGGGAGGAAGTCCGGTGGCATCTCTGGCCCCTACTCACTAGACCCCAGTAATGTGCCTCCCTCCTTGTGACAACCAAAAAGGTGTCCAGGCATTTGTCACTTGTCCCCTGGGGGCAAAATCACCCCCAGCTGAGAGTCACTGCTGTAATCTGACTGGTTTAAGTGCAAGGCCTGCCCCAGGGCACCTGGAGGGTTGGAAGGGGTGTAGGGGTGAGGGGGGAAGAGCAGGGACCAGAGGGGAGGGGCACAGGCTACTGCAAGCTCCAGAGTCTGCGGCCTCCCTCCCTCTAATCTCCTGGGCTGCACTAGCTCACCAGCCTCACGTCTCTGTCCTCAGCTCAGCCCACATCTCTGTCTCCTTGTTTAATCTCTTTCTGTCTGTCTGTTGTCTTCTTACCACTGGCCACTCTCTCCCCTTCCCAACAACCTCCACCGGGTCTCTGCCTCCTTCTCTCCATCAGCCTTCATTTCTGGGTCTTTCTGACTTGTTATCTCTGTCTCCTCTTTTTTGTCTCTATCTGTTCCTCTACTCTTCTCTCTGGCTGTCTTTCCCCTCTCCCTCTCTCTCCCCGTAAACTAGACTCTCTGTGAGTCTTTCTCTATCCCTTTCCTTTGTCTGGTCACCTCTGCCCCCCAGCCTCCTTCTGCCCTCTGTCTGGTCTACTGGGGCTCTCTCTGTCCCTATTCTCCCTCTCCTTCCCCTCCTGCTCTCTCCTACCCTCCCTTCTCCCTTTCAACCTTCTTCTCACCACCCTCCCTCCCTTCCCTCTTCCCTCCCTCCCTTCCTGACCTTCCTCCTTTCTTCCTTTCTTCCTCCCTCCTTCCTTCCCTCCCTCTTTCCTTCCCTTTCCTGCTCTATCCTTCTTCTCTGCTCCCTCTCTTCTCCCCTCCTCTTTCTCCCTCCTCCTCCTCCCCTTTGTCTGTGGGAGCTGGAAGTTAAAAGCTTTTCCGAACTTGCTCTCCAGTCGCTGTTCCCTGCGCCTTTCATCTCGCCAGCACATTTGTAAAACTGCGCAGACTGAAGGGCCGTGACATGAACAACCAAAGAAATGTCAGCGCGGGGACTGGGGCCGCCTGCCCGCCGGGGACGGTGGGGGGGGGGGGCGGTCAGGACGCACCCCAGTTCCTCCCGGGAAGGGACAGGGACCAAGATGGGGTTGGAGGCCCCCCCCCACCCCGTGGCGCTCGAGGAGCTCCCCGCATTCGGAGCCACTGCCCAGCCGGCTCCCCCAACCCCCACCGCATTGCGCAAGGGCAGGGGTGGGTGGGGGCACCCAACTCACGGAAGGGGGTGGGTGGGGGCGGGGCCCCTCACCTCCGCGGCAGCCACACGCTGCCCAGCCCCCGCCACCTGCGTAGACAACTCCTCGAGGTCACAGCGCAGCCAGGTTGTCTAGGTTCAAATCCTGTCCCCCACCCCTCACCAGCGGTGTCATCCTGGGCAAGTGACTTCACCTCTCCACGTCGCCTGTGTCGAGGAGCTGGGTGAAGCCTGCGAGAGCTGATCCATGTAAGACACTCAGAAGAAGTGTTTGCTCTAATGAAGAACAGCAAGTCGCAAAGTGGAATTATCAGCCCCATACTCCAGCTCCCTAAACCCCAGGTTTGGGCCGGGTAAGTGACCAACCAGAGGACTCAGAACAGGTAGGGGCCAGACCAGGGATTAGGGCCTGGGGTCCCTCTCCCCTCTCCCCTCTTCTCCTTTCTCCTCAAGGGAGTGGGCGCCAGGTTGGAACAGAGCTCCTGGGGCTCAGGACTGAATCTGTTTTGTTCACTGCTGTATCCGGTGGGTACTGAACAGAGTAGGTGCTCAGTAAATACTTGTTGAATGAATGAGGGCGGGAAGGAGAGAGGGAGGGAGGGACATGACTGGAAAGGTGCCAAAACCAGACCACAGAAAGGCTGCTCTGTTTGTAGGGACGGGCTGTGGGCTGAGGTGTAAGAAGGAGCCCAGAACCTAAGGAACTTCTGGGCCAGGAAATCTTCGCCCCCAGGACCCAAGCTGCAGCACAGGCCCCTGGAGCCCAGTTCCCAGGAGGAGTTATCCGGCTGCCCCTACCTCCCTGACAGCGCCCTCAACTCCCTGACCTGCTCTTGGCACCTTAGCCTGGGACTAAGCCCCCACTTTCTGCTTCCCCCATGACACTCTGTCCCCCTTCTCTCTCTCTCTTTCTCTCTCTCTCTCTGGACCCAGATCCAAAGCCTGGGCAGCCCGCTAGGAAAGGCATGCCTCCCCTTCTTCTCCCTTCCCCAGGAAGCTGCAGCCCTGCAGCCTTGCGCCGCAGGTGGTTGTGAGGAGAGGGAAATAGGGCTCCCCTGAGCTTTCCTGAGAGGCCCTGAAGATGCACTGAGGGTAGAACAGGGCCTGAGCACCCGGACCATCCCTCCTGAACCCCCTTCCCTGGGGTGGGAGGGTGAGACAACCCCACTACACACAACCCCTCCCACCTCCCCCACC